ATAAAATGAGTGTTTTATAAATTTTAATAACATTATTTTTTTTATTTTTGTTTACAAAAGAAAAAATTATTTTTATTATTAAAAAAATTCTTATTAATAATAATTGGTAAAAGAGAATTTTTTTAAAATTTTTAATAAATTTGAATCTGAATGCAAATATTAAACTCAAATTAACAAATTAAAGTTTTTTTATTTTAAATAAAATGAAATAAATATATTATACATTTTTTATTCTACGCAAATAAATATATTATATATTAAAGATTTTTATTAAGTTCATGTTTTATATAAGCTTTTTTCGATAATAAAAAAAAGGTATACAGAATTATAATATAATATAATATTTTAATGGAACACATTTAGAAGATTGATTCTACAAAACGAAAAATTAATTAAGCAATTTAAATTTGCGTTAAATGGAAATGAAACGAGATAGCGGTGTGACAGAGATAAAGCTATTTCACTTTATTTGTATTTCGCTTCGTTTTACAATGCAAAATTCAATTGCTTATAATTTAATAAATAAACTTCAACCGATATCTGTATACCAATTTTTGATTTGTTTTAATTTCTAGATCAATTTTCTAAAAATTTTAAGAATATATTAATATTTTATAAAGATTATAAAGAATAAATATAAAAAAGAAAAATAAAATACATATCTTATATCAATAATACATAAATTTTTTAAAAAGTTTAAATAAATATTAACAAATATTAATAAAATTATTATTTACATAATAAATTTTACATATGAAATATATAAAATAAAGCATTTAAAAATATTTTCTTACAAAATTTACTTTAAGAATTGTAAGCAAGAAAAATTCTTTTTATAAGGGATTAATTTAATTTTCTATTTTTCGATATTTTAAAAAATGAAGTAGTTTCTAAATACAGTGAATACCAACGCACTGATTCATATAGTTAAATTATATTGTCGCGATGATGAGTCAGACTTGGTGGAAATAAGCAATTCTATAATCTTTAACCAAATAATTTAATTCACAACATACTTTTTTTTAATTTCTTAAAGAAATCACTATGAAAATACAAAAAATAAAAAGAAAATAAAATTATGTATATCATATTAATTTTTATAAGGATGTGGTGAAAAATAGTATATAGTACATAGTAGTACTTACTTATATCTCGTATATGAAAAGAGACATTTAATAAAAATCAAAACCGGAATAAAAGTATTATTCATTAATTTTTAAATTGTATGCTTATTTTTCAATACATTTACTTTATATTTATACTTATACCTTATATTTAAGAATATAAATTTTTCGCAATATAAAACATATTTTTTCATTAAGCTATTCTGAATTTAAAATTGTTCATAATGAAATTAATGCTATTAAAGACTTTTTAAAAATAAAAGATGAAAGAAATTGAAAATCATAAGATATATTTAAATATCAAGAATTGTACTGTCAATAATATATTGCATTTATCATTATAAAATATTTACTATTTATAAACAACGAAATTGAAAAATAATTTATATAACAATGATAAATATTCAAAATATGCAGAATATATTACGTTTATTATACCATTAAAAGTGCGTTAACGATCCTAAAGTTCACGAAATACGACATTGAATACGACGTAACTTAAACTTTTGTACAGTTGCGTGATTATTTACTAATGAAATAAATATATATATATATATATATATAGTGCCCGTTTAAATACCAATATGCCGAATATATGCATTGTAATTCTTGTATTAGTGATTTTATTCCAGGAATACAGCTCGAGCTCGAAATACTAGAGAGAGACAATACAAAGATATGGTGAGAATAAGTGAGGAAGATATATTTGGTCAAGCAGCGGCAATCGAGATCGTGTTAAATAAGTACTTTATAAACAAATATCATAAACGTTAAAATGAAATATTCAAAAATTTTTATAATTTTCATTTTATCTTTCTAAAAATATCGATGGATTAGTAAGTTATTTTATGTAGAATATTTTTCATTATATTTTTCATTATTTTTCATTATTTTTTTGTATTTTCTTTAACTATGCAGAATAGAGAAAAAATGTTTTAAATAAATTTATTCATATAGGAAAATTTATTTGCCTGCAGATATATTTTCATCTTTATATAAAAAATAAAATTAAAAACAAAATTATTATTATTATTATTCTTGATTTTTAACTTGAAAAAACATCTTTAATTTTTTGGATACCCAAGTCTTTTTATTATATATTAAAAATAAAAAAAGAATTATTTATTAATATATATTATTTATTATTATTTAATATTTAATATTTATATTAATAATAATTTAATATTTAATATTATTTATTAATAAAAAATTTATACAATTGAATTAGTAATATTAATTAATTTATTATTAAGAATAAGAAAATAAATAAAAAAACATAAGAGATAAATATTATAAATATCAGCCAATATCACTTATAAATGAAATGAAATCAATTTTTAAATTATTTTCGTTTTTTAAGATACAACTTCATAACGAGATAAAATTTAAAATTATAAATATTAAGGTAATTATCTGTTATATTATGATGTTGTGAAAAATATTTTTATATAAAATTATACACGAAACATGAAAAAAAAATAATAAAGATTTTTTATCGAAAAATAAATTGTTTTATATGATTTATTATTATTCTACATACATATTTTTATTCTACACAAATTTTTATTAAAGTCAGATTTTTCAAAATAGATGAATTTTCTTATAATTTTCTCATCATATGAATACTTTAATGACTGACTATAAACTCATTAGCATGATAAAGCGATAATATGCGTTGTAATATATACATGTTTGTATGTCTTATGAAAAATTTACAGATTATTTTAAAATGAGAATACAAGCATTAATGTGACATCATTATTATTGCAGTGTCATATGTTAACGCGTCATTTGTTATCATATTAATAATATAATAATATAATAATATAATAAAGATTACTTTATTGAGTGATCCATGTGTTTTATTAAAATAAGTCTTAGTAAGTATATACCTATAAATTTAAAATAAATTTCATAAATAATAAAAAGTAAATTTTATGTCGATTTAACATTATTATTTTTATATCATCTTTTTATCAATATAATATAAAGATAATAAAAAAGTTATTATCTTTCGATTTATTTTATATTTTATACATTTTTTAAAGGCTATCAATAATAAATTATTGATGTAAATATTTAATAATTTATAATATCATACATCAAAAAGAATTTTTACTAATGATAAATTCAATAGATGCTTAATTTATAAATAAGAGATATTAATAAATCACAAGATTATATGATTTAATTTCAATATATTATAACTACCTGATTTAACCAATAATCTAACTCCGTTAGATTTTTTATTATTATAATTGAAATTATTGAAAAAATAAAGTTGACATTAATAATTGAAAAATAATTGATGAGAGAAAAAATAATATAATTGCCATTAATAAGAGTCATTATTTAAAAATATAATGAAAAATTAATTCATGAAAAGAAGCTGAAGAAATTATTGCATTCTATAATAAATATAATTGAAATTTTAATATAAAAACTTAAATTATTTTTAATGACTTATATTTGATTTTGATATCGATTCAAAATATGTCATTCAATTTAAATCCTCTTTTAATATATTCATAAAATATCTTTAGATTCTTAAAATTAAACAGATATAAAAATTGACATGCAAAAATCGACTATAAAATATAAAATAAAAATATACAATAAATATATAAAATAAAAGAATATTATTAAAAATTATTTATTAAATTATAAGTAATTTATGTTTGTGTTAGATAAAATGAAGTGGAGATCAAGAAACAACTTGAGTGTGACAGAGAAAGCTATCTCACCTTATCTACATTTTGTTTTATTTAATGAAAACTTAAATTATTTATAATTTAATAAATATTTGTTAACTAATTATTTTTGTATTTATTTTAGCTTTAGAATCAAAAGTCTCAAAAAATATCCCTAATGAATAATTGAATAATTTTTACGATTAATATTTTTACCAATTTTTTAATTTTTTATATTATTACACAATTATTTTAAATTACGAATCAATATGAAAACCATCCAAATTCAATATTTGCTTTCTTATAACAAAATGATTAATAAGTTATCATTCAAATTATATTTTTTCAATTTATAGTTTCAAGCAATATTATTTAATAATACAAAATTTTAAAAACATTGATATTTCAAACGATCAATTTATATTTATATTTCGACAAAACGAAATAATAATAATAATAAAAATATTGCTGAAATGTTTTTATAAATAAAAAAGAAAATTTTAGCGGCTTACCTGTGGTAGTGCAACAACGATATTAGCATTTCCTTCACCTCTGTAAACGCAGTCCTCGATGGAGAATGTCGATGAAAAAGGGGAAGTTGTCCGCAAATCTCCATCGAAACTTCCGGTGGAAGTGGTCATCGATTCTGGAAAGGCAGTGATTGTCACAGGATTTCCTTCGTTGATTTTCATTGTTTTATCTTTATCCCTGCGAAAAGAAATAAAAATTCTCATTAAAATATTCTTGGATATATTTAATTAATAAGATTTAAAAACAAATTGCTGCATAACGCATTAAAAAATAAAAATTTAAGATAAACCTTTGATATTAATTATATACTCAAGACGTAAAATAATATTTATATCTATTCTATAATTTTTTATAGAAGATAGATTCTGCATAGAAATGTGAGAATCCAAAAATATCTCGGTGCTCGGGATAGGTCGAGATTAGGATTGCTGGGACAAGTTTGACTATTGGAAGAGTGAGAGAAAATGGTAGTGGTGATGGTAGTGGTAGTAGTGATAATGGAACTTGAAAGAAATAACAGGTGTTCTATTGTACTGTATCATATGAGCAGATTTTTGTCATTCTTGATAGTAAAATGAAAATTTACGGAATATTTGTTATTTCGCCTATCTTTTCTAGAATTTCTAAATTCCACCATATTGCTTTCTTTCATTCTTCCAATAATCAAGCTTATTTCAGTAATGGTCATGATTCTGCAAATTTCGAGATTTCTGAAATATTTCTAATTTTTGAGAATATCGAGTGATTCAAAAATGTCGGAATTTTCGATATTTTTACAAGTTTTGAATTTTCAATTTCTAATCTTCCAAATTTTATTTTATAAAAGTTATTTAAATAAAAAAAATTAATACAAAATAATAAAATTATAAAAAAAAGAGAATTATCTCTTTTGGATTTTATAATTTATATTATTATCAAGACGTAATATATTAAATTAATTACTTATATTAACTAAAGAAATAAATAATCGTTTTTGAAAATTTGACAATGTTCCAAAATCTATTTATATATTCATATATTCATATTCGAAATCTAAAATTGTGGACGTATTCAATAAAACAAACTCTGAAACAGCATTTGAATTTTCGGAAATTGTTAGAATTATCTTAGAAAATCTTGAGAATTTCTTTCAAGAATTTCAAGAATTTCAGATTTAGAAAAGAATCTTAATCTCGAAAAAAAAATTTTGTTTTGATTTGTCTTAACAATCAAATTACACTACTTTGATGTGTAAATATCAACTATTTGTTAACAAATTAAATATTTATAAATAAAATAATTAATATTTGTTAAGTAATTTTAATATTTTATTCAAATACTTATAAAAGAGAAGGAAATATATTTGTAAACTAAAGATTTATATATTTTTAAAGAGATTAAAAAATTTACATATATGCACTATTATATACATATAGAGTATTAATATATTTGTAGGATATATTCTAAAAGTCAAAACATAATAAATATAAAAATTACTATATAACAATATCGATTAAACGAAACAAGACGAAAAGAAATTGAGATTGCTCGTTCTCATTATATTATTATTATATACTGTTACATCTCATTTCATTTAACGCAAATTTAAATTGCTAATAATAAAATAAATAAGATCGAAATTTTTGTATGTATTTTGGCTTCTAAAATCGATTCTCCAAAATTATTCTATGAATATATGTTTAATATCCTAAAATAAATAATGAAATTAATAGTAATGAAATTAATACGTATCTATTTATATATTATTATTATTTATATATTATTATATATTATCTGAATATATTATTTAACATTGAACAAATTCTTCAATTATGAAATTAAAAAGTAATTAATTTTGTGAATTAATTTTAGTTTAATATTATAAATATAAGTATATGGTAATTACAAATTTTGTATATATGATAATTATAAATAAAATAACCGGTTTAAAATAAAAGATCTTTAACATGAAATAAATAATTCATGAAATCTAAAATACTTAAAAATGAGTTTATTAAATATTTCTAATTGATAAGATAAATTCATTAGCATAAGTAGATAAAGTGTAAAATAAAATTTATTTTTTTTATACATATTAAAAATAGTGTATAAATATAAATAAATTTTATTATTA